TACGCGAATATTCAGTTTTCGATCGTAAATGCGAACGATTTTAGATTTGTACCATACAAACATTATTTAAGTGTGGGTTAAAATTGTTTTGCAGACTGTAAAAGTATTAGTTTGAAATAAATTCTCACAAACTATTGTATTCATAATAATAAATGACTGTGTTGAAATCGCATTTAAAGCGGTCGTAACACTTGTCTAAAACACAGGAGGACGTTTACATACATTTTCCGTTTTTATTGATTAGTATGTTATAGTTGGATTGGAAGGTTGAAAACGAAATTGATGTTTTCTATACAATGTTGAGTATAATATCGTACAAAATGGTGTAACGGAAAAAAAAAAATCTGTTGTCAGCCCGGTGTTGGCTAAAGTATAGGTACGTGTATAATGATGTTCACACCTTTTAACTCGTCTCTGGTGTCTTCTTTTTTAAATTTATATTTATTTCGCGCGGTGATGGATTGAGTTATTTTTGAACGCCTGCCCATTTGTCGAACACGCTGAAATACCTGTGTATTTATATACGTCAGAAAATTTTTTAATAAATCATTTCGTCAATATTACATACGTAATCCAAGTGGACGTCCGTAATAATAATATCCGTCAGGTGTCTATAGATACGATTCAATTGTTATCGAAACAGTTCTATGTGATGAATTGAAAAATACGTTTTTCCCTTTGATATCAAAATTTTAAAACAATATTTATACAATAAATTATAAATTATTTAGACACACGAAGTATATTTAATACGTAAATTAAAATCGACTTACTTAATATAACAATTTTGTGGTGTATTTCGGATTTTTTCAGGGTGGAGGGTTATTAACAGAATTTAGATGATAAATAATATTATAAAAGTTTTGTAACTCAAGTGTGTGTTATTTGTTCTTGTTACACTTTTAAGTTTAAAATCATAAGTAGATCCCCACGAATGCCATTGGATATTATAATATTTATATAGCTATTTGATTGAAAATATACAGAATATATTTATTTTTTTTTGTTAATAATGCTATTTTGTTGTTAAAAAAAGGAAATACATTTTTATGTGTATAATAATAATATTATTTATTAATTCGACAAATACTTGAAATTTAACTGATTATTATGTAAAATTTCTTCTTTTTTTAACTTAGTTTCCTTGAAGTAACTATTTGCAAACTTTTTTCTAATTATTGAAAATATTAATGTTATTTTGCTACGTAGAATCTACGTCCAAGATACTTGCAGAAATATTGATTTTTTACGAACATTTAAAATTAAAATACGCCTTATACAACTAGAGGGAGATTCTCAGGGGGATTATTAATTAATTTAAGTATCAGAATGTCTTCTTGAATATTCACCATCTATTTAAATTTTTTCGTTTAATCTTATTAGGTATTTTTTTTTATTTTATTCATTTTGAACAAATAGCGCCTCAGCAGAAACATGAGGGTCAATAAACCGCTTGTCGAGCTGACGAAAGCACAGAATATATTTTTTGTGTAAAATACGCAATGGTAGGGATAAATTACCTATAATTTTTTCAATTTATTGACAAGTTTATTATAATATGTAATTTACAGAATAACCATTACCTGTAGTATTTTTATTTTTTAGGAACATTTTTCTTTTTTACAATTTATCTAAAATTAATATTTAATACAATTGTTTGTTTGTTTGTATATTTGTTACACTGGTTGATTGATTATAATATACTTATTAGAAGGTAATTACGATTAACTTATTATTAAGTTTCAATGGAATTTTCTTGTCGCCCGAGGCTTCTCTTCATTGCGTTTAATTACATTTATTCCTATGTTTCACCACCTTGTCAAAGTCACCGTCCTTATGCCCTAACTTATTCCAAATTTTCTCCTATCAATGTTATATCATCTGTAAACATCATGCAACAAGGTATTTATATACTATAACGGTATTTATACTATATTTCTAAAAGCCATGTTGAATAATTTAAGTATAAACATGTAGAGGCGGAGGTTTAAAGTTAACCCAAATAGGCATTAGGCATCATTCTTGATACAAATGCCTTATGGATATAAAAATGTCATTCTCTCTGGCTTTATTTGGGTGGTATGAAGCACTGTTCAATAGTATATGCTAAAAAAGACTATAAATATATATGTCATTTTATAATCAAATAATTAAATCTGCTTTTTATATTTTCTTTAATAATATTTGTTTAATGTTGTAACGATTTTCCCAATTTTCATACGTTTTTCCCGGTTTTCTCATGTTTTATCCAGGTTTTTCAAACTTGCTGAGAAAACTTCTAAGAAAATTAAAAAGTGGTTCTTGAAAGTACCACCCCAAATCGATGTCCTTTCAGAAAAGATACTGCACTTAGAAATCCAAGCAAGTCTTCTGGTAGAATAAGTGTTTACAGAAAAAAAAAAAAAAAAAACATCTTTGGAAAACCATAAGCTCCACTCAGAATCTAAAATATCTTCCTCCTATAACATGACGAAATTTATTTTTGAAATCAACTTAATTGTTATCAGTTAAATTAGTATATTAAACAACTCTGATTCCCGAGTTTGAGCTAATTTGATCCAGATGAACAAGCTTTAAAATGTCAAAAAACAACGAGAAAAAGATATGTATATATGTACAATATGTATATTATATAAAAAAAAAGCGTAATGTAGAGTTTATTTTCGAGAAAAATTTGGCTCAATTTATTAAAAATATTTTTGATGAATTTCGTTTGAAAAATTCCATAGTATATTGTATTGACAAGATATTTTATAGATAACTAATAAATTGAAATTATTATTCAATTTTCAATTTTCGATCCCTGCTATTACTTTCGTCGAATATGGACGATCAGACTAGATACGCTAATGGTTTTTTTACTACCGTATAAATAATGTATACATTATTCGAGTGTAGGGAATTAAAAGTTTTGACACAATATGATACCTACTCGATAGTCGACAAAAAATAAAAACAGAAACTTTGTTCCCTCTAATGGTTTTAAATAGCTATTCAAAAGAGAAAAACGGAATGGAAGAGATAAAATATAAGCATTCGTTTGAAAATGTACCATAGTAAATCCTTTTGGGATATACCTTGTATGTTTTTTTAGAGTTGATTAATATACGTTTTGATTTTCCCGAAAGAATAACAGGAGAACAGGTGATTTGGAAACCGCATTAGTCCACTGCGAGTAAATAACCATACTTAGGGATACGTGCAGGTAGGGACGCGCCGAATCCCCTAGCCCGTCCCGCAAATGGAAACAACTTCTCGAAAGTTTAAAAACTTTCACGTAGGTATACGGACATTATATACATTTTATAATACAGTAATACGCGATACTTACCGTCATCGTTGTCGTTGTACTTTATTTAGAATTTTGAAATAGACCGTCCGCGTGAACTTGCACTTCAACGTGGATTATGCATTTGTACAGCAAGTGATATTATTTTTGGCCTATTGTAATTCTACGTTCTAAATTTCTCAGTACTGATATAAAATATGAATTATAACACGGTGCACTTCTATAGTTTTGTAATTTGTATGTTTGTTAATTTTTTAAATTTTTATTTGCCCCTTTTTACACGGTCATTTTATGGTGTATTTTTTTAAACAATTAATGTTTTTCTTTTACGTTTATACATATTATAGTTTATTTATAACTCGTTATCTATATAATTTTTAACAACAAGAAAACTTTCTTCGTATGTACTCAATAATTCATTATATGTAAGTCAGTTTATTATATTTTATTATAAATATACATTTAACGGTATGTCAGCGCTTTTTTGCCGTTTTAAATGCATACATCAGCGATATTTTCTTCGGAATTAGTGCATTATTTAATTGATACTTTTTTGAAATTTGAATTATGCTTTTAACTTTTTTTTTGGGGGGGAGCTTTTAAATGTTCTTTACGAGTTTTTGAATGCGTTAAATTTATAACTTTAAATTATTAAAACTTTAAAAAAAATTAAATGTAATAAAAGAAAAATAATCGATACAACGAAACGCCCTTATTTTCCTTATAGTTACTACATAATATATTTACTTGTCATTTCATTATATTTTGCCTTCTGGAATCAACAAACCTGTCTAATCGCCTAATTCGATTTCACATTACCGCCGTATTAAATCTCTCTCTTTTTTCCTCTCTCCCTTCGTATCCATAACTCTATTGCGGCTGCGGTTACACGTACACGCCAACTATATAATTCAATCGACATTTTCTTCGTAGATTTTTTTTCCCTATAGACCGTGTCAAGGAAAACCTATAATGTATTCACAATAAAAGCCGCTGTGTGGATAAATCTTTGGTCCCGGGAAAGGATTAAATTTGCAATATTGTGTATGGTTTTCAAAACAAGCAAATTCAATTTTGAAGATAGCTAAATGACGAAAGTAACGACTTACGCCTTTTCGCTAAACGAGAAGTATAGGTACATCATACATATAGTGACTATTACGATGTTTTATAATTGTCAGTATTACCATACGTATGTTAGAATACGGACTTAAATAAAAAGGAAAAAATTGTGTAAGATAAAATATTATTGACATGAAAATTCAGGAACCGAAAAAATATAATATAAGTTCTACGACAGTGTGAAGGCGACGTTTTCGCGACGGCATAATATTATAAAGATTGATAGTGAATTTGACAGGGTATAAATTCGATTTTGCGGTTAACGTTTTCGTCGTCGTTAATTTTCACCTGCGGAACGCAAAGTTCAGTTAAAATAATACGTAAGTTCGCTATGCACAGATGTAATAATATTATGTCATAAACGTGGAAATCAATAATTATTATAGTTACCCATAAATAACTTTACCTCTCCTCGTGATTGTCACCCAGAAAACGACAACCGATAATATTATTAAAGATATTAAAGACAGATTTGGTACCACTGCAGCGGACACGCATAGGAAACTCGAAAAAGAGGAAAAGAAAATTGGATCTTAGATTAAAAAAAAGATACAAAATACAGAAAAATCCAATTAAAAAAATTATATTACTTATAATAAATACGTCATTTTTTAAAATGTTTTTTTCATATATATTATATTATAGTGTACACACTATATTATTATTATTATTCGTGTATAGGACCGTTACAATAAAATATAGTATTCTACTTAATAATATAGTTATAATTAATTATATTAGAGTACGATAAAGGAAATAGTATTTTATCAGTAAATATAATAAATAGATAAATATAGATATGCTCAACTGGGATATGTCATGTTACACATAATAATATTAAAATCTAAAGAACGACATTATTATAAATTTACGCGAAAAGCGCTTTTCCGGTAATATTATTACGCTATATTATGATAATATATTTTAATACAAACACAATACGAATATATAATAATATACTTTAAACACGTCCAATTTGTTGTGTTGGTCAAACAGGGGTGGGTGAGTAGGGGGCGTGGGGGGTCTAATTTGATTACGTTCGGGTGGGTGAGTTTTTGTTTTTGACGGGCTCGGGACGCGTGATAAATTAAAATTCGACGTTTGCCCGACATCGTTTTGTATACGACATATACTTATATGATAATGCATTAATACATTATTATGTACTTACAATAAGGCACGCCGTAGAAAAAAAACCTATCGTCGCGCGTTCGCCGAGTTCGTAGGCAAAATAGTATTATAACGACGACGAAATTCGCACGAAGAGTCGGAGCAAATACGCACGCTCAGTACATATAATATATGCTACTATACGTATATAATTATTTTTTTTCTTATAATTTATTAATAATGTATTTAGTAGTAATTTTTTTTTTTTTTTTTCTGTGAATAATTGGAGGGACCCGCGCACATAACGAGACGGCTTCTGCCATTTATGTTGGCGATTTCCGATCGAGAGAACTGGTGTAGTATAGAACGTTTTAAAGGCTATATTTTTATCGCGACGGTCTGTTATGCGCACTGTACGCGTGTAACTTGATTAATACCGATATTGCAAATAATGCGAAATCGTAATTTTTTTTTAAAAAAAATAACGTTTCTCTCTCTCTTATTTCCGAAAAATTTGTCGAAAATCTGAGCGGTCTCGTTTTCGCGCCGGGGACTCCTTTGATCACGGCGCCGCTAGTTGTTGGCCCATTCTCGTGACACGAACCCGGCGATCAGTGGCATCACGATCAGCGCCATCAGCAGCAGCGTCACGTTCGAAGTCGCGGTCGGCGACCCGGGATTGCATCCGTCCGCGTCGTCGCAGCTCTGCAGACAGCCGTCGACGTATCTGCGTATCAATCGGAATCAAATCGAATTAATTTATAATAATACGGGTGCTGTCCGAGCTGAATTAACGAACGAGTCGTTTTAGTGGGATCCAAAGAGCGCCGGATAAACTGTTTAAAAACTTAACCAACACGTAATAGCGTGATACGAAATTTGAGGCGTTTTTTTATGAATTTCACGTTATACCTACATAATAATTTTTTAAGGACAGCAAAAATTACTCCAATACAATCGCTACCTGTTCTCTCACATATTGCCTCCCCTCTCTCAGAAGTTAGAAGACAAAAACTTAACCTGTAGCACACCATCCAATTAAAATGTATTAAATCCAGATACCCTACATGGGAAGAAGCCACGACCGAGGTTGATTCACAGGTTGAATGTAAAAGGACATGGTTAGAGTCTGAGGTACGGAATTCATTACTGATCGAAAATCCAATAGTAAAAACACCAGATTTTAACTTATCACGTAGCTTATGGAACACCCTAAACTGCATTAGAACCGAGCAAGGAAAATGCAATTACCTATTTTACAAGTGGGGAATGGCGGAATCTCCTTAAATTTGTTGTGGCCAAGAGTAAACTGTCAGGCATATAGTAAAAGAATGCCCACTAACGAAATTTACAAGAGGTATTGAAGAAATCTACACAGCCGGCGTAGATGCCATCGAATGTATAAAAAACTGAGGTATGCGTCTATGACCTAATTCGTACCAAATGGAGAAAGAACCAAAAGTTACCAATTGTTATCGAACTTATTTTTACTCTAATTTTTAGTCTTAGTCTTAATTTTATACAATACGTTTTTATGCTTTGTCCTAATAGTATCATATTACTGACATTTTTTTAATTAATATTTTAATTTTATTTGTGTTTTGCTGGAGGCATATACTAATATAATATAATAGCATTATAGTTGCGATTCGCAATAAGAATTGCAAGCTGCAAACTACACGTTACAATCTTAAATTTGAATACGTGTACATTACTTATTGAGTAATTTACAATTCCGAAAATTTGTACGGGAATTCGTTTGAAATTCATACTCCCTTGCGCCATTACAATTAAACTTTTTAAAAAAAAACCTTATATACTTCGGGTCATCTATAGTTGTAGGTGAGTGTATAAATTGTATAGTTTAAACATTGTTAAACATGTTTAATTCATTGATAACGAAAAACGATTCCCAATATCATCTTTAACTGGTTTAAATTTCTAATTAGAATTTTTTTATAGCCTATAACCCAAGGATGTACTAAAAAATATCCAAAATTCAAGTGAATATACATGGCTATATTATAAAAATTCTGAGTTTTAGATTTGTATCAATTTCGATGAAATAGATTTCGTCTAAAACCGTAATATATAATTGTTACAACTTATCAAAGTCAGGACAAAAGAATTAAAAAAAAAAAAAACAAATTCCCAAATGCATTTATTACATGTCAAAAATGCTACAAGAAACCCGCTTTGCTGTTTGTGTTTTTTTGATTAAAAAAAGTTTTCTAATCGAAAACTTGCTTACAAAAGGCGAAAAAAAAACAGAATAGCAAAAATTTTACGCAGCCATTCGCTTAGAAACTATAATTATTTATAAAATAATTGAACACAAATAATTTCCATGCTAATTAAGTTGATTTAACGCCCCAAATCGACATTTGTTTTCCCCGGTGTACTATGTCGACTATGCTATGTACATATAAAAATATTTTATTTTTTTCATAAAATTAGTGCGCTTCGAATGGCTCAACCCACTGAGGGGCATACGTCCATTTCAGCTTTGTGCGTTGCAGTTTTTTTTTCACTATACGGAATTAATGAGATAATATTAGTTATAATAATATGCGTTTCGTCTAATATACGAAATTGTATTCAATACTATTTGGTTTTTGTTAATTTTCGAAATTTAATTAGACGTTTTTTTCTTTATTCGCTCGTTATGTTTGTAAAAACCATTTTCTCCTTCCATTGTATTGTATAATACGTACATTGATTTTTCGTTTTAATGGGTTTTTAAGGCGTATTCAAAGTATATATTATATACATATGTATAGGTAATATGAGTGAGTATATTATTTACATTATATTTTACACCGTTTATTTAGGTCATAAACGTTCTCCACTCTGCTGATGCATGAGCATTAAAAAAACAAAAAAAACAAAAACTAAATCTATTTTATAGGTAATAGGCGTCTGCCGTTTCGGGTATAAACATTTCCACCGGAATTGTCGACAATAATATTTACATCCGTGGGTGTTACATTATACAGTCGCTGTTACGGTAAGTAGATATTATAATATGGAATCGCCGCCACAACCGTTTATGTTTACCCGCAGTTATATATATACTTACTCAATTCAAACAACAAAATATAGAACCACAACTTCAAAATTAGAAGTTACGAAACTAAAACAGTGTTTGTCCGGATTAAATTCATAATTGATTATATCACATATTCGGGAAATCAGTACCGCAGTATCGTGATAACTGTCGTTGGTGCCCTAAGGCGATCATTATTATGTTTAGTGTTTAAACTCGATATCCACCTAATATTTAACCCGCTGTACATTTATGGTGCCTCCGGGTGCCATAGGTAAGTCGCCTCTTTGACTTCCTCCATAGCACGATCCTGAAATTGATTTTCTATGAAACGAGTTATTTTTTTTTTAATTCTACGCCGACGTAGAAAATTTATTTTACCACAACTTACTCGTATTTATTTATTATTTACGGGCCGAGCCCTTTGAATACCGACAATAAAATAATAACACATTGTAATAGTACAAAAATTGTAATTTGAAATGGCCATAAATATGTGCATATACAAGTATAAGTTATTTATTTGGCTTATAAGTATGTTGTAAGTTATGAATAATAGATGAATACTAGAATAATACCACAGATGTACAGTACAATAATGGGATGCCAAAAGACATTAAACGCCTAAATGGCTTGTTTTTCAAGAAATTGATATATGAATTATTAAGGATTACCTGTAGTGATGAGTCTCGTGAATTTACGTTGTATAATTGTACCATTGAGGTAAATTTACAAAAAAAATTATATAGGGTAAATTTATATTTACCGGGTGTTTATGTGTATGTGTTTTAGATTCTGAGTGTAGAGAAGAATGTATTAGTTTTACAAAGATGTTTATTTTATTTTTTTATTTTTTATACTGTGTACACAAATTCTACCAGGAAAAAGTATCAAGTATAGCACATTTTCTGAAAGAGAATATAACTGGGGTGGTATTTTGAGGAGGTTATTTTTTGATTTTCTCAATAAATGGAGAAATGTACGAAATGTATTAGTAAAATATTACCTAATTTTACTTCGAAAAACATTTATATAATTAGGTATTAAAGAAAATATAATATATTTTTTTTTATATTTTCTTTATTACATTATATAATGCATATGTAATATCTAATTATATATTTAATATGTAAATATTGCATATGTAATTATTTTACTATAATGTGGCAAATTATATATTTATATTTTTATACAAATCAACACTATTAATCTAACTCCGCTCAGAATCGTTTTTCGTAAGCAACCGTTAATATTGTTGCGAACAGATATTTATTAAATTTCCGGCTTGCAGTATTAATAGAAATTTTTTTTAAATTTGTTATTAAAATGACTGGTGAAACTGCATTTTTAACATTTAAACGGTATTATGTTATTTTATTACCTACTAAAAAAATTGTATCCCTTCGTTTCATTTTTATCATAATGGTTATTTCCTATCGGATAATGTGTTTTTCTCTTAAAGAGAGCTATTTTTTCCCTGATGTTTTGGATTTTTTTTACCACCTTACTCGACTCGATGACTTTTTTGTAATATATTTTCATATCCGGTTCAGAGCTATCGGTGTTTGCAGGAGTAAGAAAAGAAAAAGAAATATCTTTGGCAGACGTTAAGGGAGTAACATTAGGTTCCGGGGGAGGGGGAGCGTCGTACTGATCCTGAATACGGCTCGTTATACGCGCCAGCGATTAACTGAATGAAAACAGTGCCGTCGAGATTCCCGCAGCAGAAATCTCGGAATAAAAAAATGTTTTTCTTTTTCTTTTTACACTCGAATACAAGTAATTGCAAAGTTTTCTAAAAGAAAATAAATATTCCGAAAATGTATATAAAATATTAGGTATGCGTTATTCATCCCGCGTAAAACAAATCTTATATTCATGGGGTAGTTATTTGTTCATTATTCTTATTATTTTTTTTAGACATTCAAACACGTCGGTTTTTTCAAATTAAAAATCGTATACTTATCGGTATATAACGATCGGACATATTATATAATCGTATTCTATAAAATATATATTATCTCGTGTATGCCATGGTTTTTTATTTTTTTACGATTTCACGATCGAATACCTAAATGCGAGTATTTTTTTATCGAGAACTCATATTATTATATCACCAATTTGTCCGTCAAACACACAAAATATACAAGTGCCATCAAAGGGATAATTTAAATATCTGGACCGTTTTTATACGGAGTACGCATGTATACATAAATATTTTTTTTTATCCATGATCATTTTCAGTTCCGAGGTTGTCGCGTACGCTTTCAATATCAGAAGTATAATACGAGCACACGCGTGCTTCAATCGTTTTTCGCAATAATGATTTTACATGTTTTATGTTATACGCTTCGGATTGGTATTCGAACAGAACGCATGTACACGCCGTTCATAAATCGCTTCGAAATAAACCCAATACGACAATTTCACATTGATTCGACCACTCCGCTACTCCTCTAAACCGTATATAGCAATCAAAAAAAATAAAAACCTTCGCCGGTATTTCGAGCCTTGTCAATTCGATTGCTTCTCCGACTGTTCGGGATCGGTCTCAATTCTAAATCTTCTCGTTGACAGCTGATACGGTTTCTCAAATATTATCAGCATGCATCATCCGGGGCCCGCAGTATGGGTACTCGTAGCACTTTCAATCACATTCGTGTCAATAACCGTCTACTTTTTCACTTTTAATTTCACTTTCTTTTATAATATACATTTATTCGCAATACCTGCAGCGCTCTATCTACAGTGACTAAATTTGGATTAATTATTATATGTAGGCACAGGGGCGTGTCCGGGAATGTTTTTCGGTGGAATCTCATCAGTTATATATCACTAGAAGTCGGATTTTTATGATTTTACATGTTTGTTTCTAGGGTATGCAGTTAAATGGGAGTAAGATATCTTCACTATTCATAAAACATAGAATTTAGAGGAAAAAGTGTATTTTGCATAAAAAAATCATATTTTAAGGCATAAAGAGAATATTCAATACGTTAGGGAACATTTGAGATTTTGAGAATATTTTATACATATTTTTATTTTTGAACCTATTATTTGTATGGACGTATATCGGCGTTTTAATAATAGTAATCAAGAAATACAATTTATTTTACAAGCAAGTTATGTTTAAATCCTTCTGGGTTTCTAATAAAAATTAAACACTGGATATTTCTTATCAATGGTGATATCACGTCAAAAATAACGAAATAACTTTAGCTGTCACGATTGTAAAATAAATTTAATTAATTAAAAATGTTGTAAACAAAATAAATAATACAATTTAATTTAAGTTGAAAACTCAAATTAAATTTTTTTTTTTTAAATATTAAAAGAATATTTTGATCCTTCAAGGAGATAAAATATTATATATCTGGTATTTTAAAATAATATTAAGAGAATATATTGCCTATTTTAAACGACATAAAAACATCATATTTTAAGGATTTTAAGAGAATATAAATCCGACCTCTACAATCACATTACAATATAACGTAGATTAGTTTTTTTAAAAAAAACTCTATTTAGAACGGTAGTATAAAATTTCCTTAAATTTAAGAGGATGAGTCGCAGCTTCCTCAGCGCATCCACCCTTGAATACGCTACCGGGTAGATATTACTATTATTAGTTTTGTTGTTTATGCGATCATACTGCAATATTCGGTCTTATCACACATTTTCACGTGTAGATGTTATTCGTTGAAATTAAAACGAAATATACATCGTTTTGAGTTTAGACCGGGTTATTTGATATGAAATTCGTTTTGTATATTATCGGTGTTTTATCATATCTTATTTTATTTTACTAACCGTCGCGTCAATTTTTTCTGGTTTCATCGGTTATAGGTATTATATTTACGTGGAGAAAAAACGCCCATGAAAACGGCCGCATCCGAATTGGGTCTCGGATCCAAGTAGTTTTAATGGGTAGTACACTAGTTAGGTCCCAATGAATTTTGGACCTAGCTATATGCTGGTTGGGTCCCGACTTTTGGCAGGTTATATACTAGTTGGGTCCAAACGTTTACAAACAATAAAAAACATTTTCCTTCTTATTTTTATAGACTTAAGACCGTCAGTGGTTTGTAGTTTAAAATAAAACACAGGTATGATTAAAACATTTTTGTTTTGTCAGATGAATTAATATTTTGAAAAACATTAAGAAGGTGGCCTCCGGTCGTATGAATACTAATTTAATATAATATAAAAAAAAAAAATTAAAAAATGTGTTATTTACTTAGGTAAAAATGTATGAGATAGCAAAAATGATTTAAGTTGCCAAAGTTTTTTTTTCAGTAATTTTCTCTTTTATAAATTATTCTTTTTGTAAAATATATTCCCGTCGTTTTTTCCCCCATACTTTTCATTTTGATGTAAGCGTCTACTCGGGTACTTTTTAGAACCTCTATTCTACGCACTTTTATTAATTCGAAACCCAATCTGAGAAAATCTGGAACCCAACTCGAGAACCCGAGACCAAACTAGTATAGTACCCGAATTAACCCATGACCCAATTCGGATGGGCCAATAAGAACGTCACTCACTTTTTACATTTTTATATTACGAGTACATATTGCGGGCGCATTGTCATTCGAGTATAATATTATTATTGCAATGTCTAAACGGATATAATTCTTACTTGTCCTCGAAATAGAATCCTCCGCAATGTGACATGCGAATAATTTCGGTGTCCGTAGTCAGAGTGCCACTATCCAAAGCACACCCTCTGACCGTGATGTGTTGTCCGGTTTTTTCTATAGAACATAATATTATTATTGTAATAATACTGTAGATATTTTTTTTTCTCGTTTCAATAAAACGAACGAAATACCAATTATTGTTACGTTACGCGTTCTATAATCTAATTTTTGGTCGATTTGAATATTTAAAACGAAAAAAAAAGTATAATAATGTAGAACGTGTATAATAATCACGCGAAATACGTATCGAATCAACAGTTCTTATTTCAACCCTGTGAGATATTATCATAAAATTACTTCTGTAAGAACTTTTTTATTTTTAAATAGAGTTTTGTTTTTTATCGGTTTCCGTAATGACGAAAAAGGTCGAAGTTCGTTTTATGTTTTGCGATAACAAAATGAAAAATACAAAACTTACGATAGTAACCGGTGAGCTTAATGCAAGCGGTAGCCGGAAACACACCGTTTCGGCCTTTCCGCCCGCCCATGCAAGGCGACTCTAAAAGTCCCGAGCTAAAATTATTATGGAACGGGTCGTCACACGCACGGTTCTGCCATTCCAGTGAAACACATTTGAAACAATCAATACCGGCGTCTAAAAAAAAAAAGAGGGGCGATGTCGGTTTAGATGTTTTATTTTAATATATTGTATATTATTATCACTTCGTCGTGACAAAATTACATTTACTATCAAGTACCAAACTACATTGTTGTTTTCAGTAAATTTGTTCTTTCAACAGTTATTATTTAAAATATTTTCGCTATTTCCCATTTATTCGTATGTACAGAGTGATCCATTCATCACGGAGGATTTTAAGTGAATTCGATTTCTGTTTTTTTTTTTTCTGGATAATAATGCTACGGAGTCGTTTATGCTTTATTTTCTAATACTATTTTTATTTTGTTTACTCCTTGTATTTCCTAGTACTATAAGTGTAGCTCTTGATAAACTTTGAACTCTTAACGCTTATAAAAAATAAATACAACGTTACGCTCAATTTTTCTTTTTTGCTGTTATCACTAATTGCAACTTATAACAAACCTCGTGTTCAATTTTCGAGTATTTTCACCGGCCCAAAACGATTTAAATCACGTATCAAAACCTAAAAAAAACTCGATAATTTCAAATATCTATAAATAGGTAAATGAAAAATTACTAATGTTTTGAAATTTATATAAATGTCTTGAAGATACTGCACATAAGTGTTTGGTGAAATTTCCGTCTTCTGTAATAATTTTTCATGGAATTACACTAAGAAAAAAAAAAGTCAAACATCACAGAAACCATTATTAATGTAACGTATACAATTTTCCCGACGTTTTTAACTAGATTTTTCTCAGTTTACGTCAATTTCAATAATTGCAAGGGAAGTTGTTTTTTTTTTTAAGTCTTATGACCTCTTCTTATATTTTTCCTATTCGAGCACTCGGTTACAAAGAGATGTTTAAGTATAAACTAATTTTTTTCTTCTGTTCTCTTTAAGTAATAGTTTAACATAAGTCCTCGCGATGATTTGCGAAAAGAATTCTATGGCCTTCACGAATCGCAATTTTCAATTAAACCCAAACGCATAATTGAAAAAAAAAATTAACTTTACGAGTTCCATAATAGTCATGAGCGATTAATTATGAAATCGTACGTACATTTTGAAAATATTTTTTAATAATATGCGAGAAATTTTTTTTTATTATTATTATTTTTTTTTTTTTTTGATAGAATCAAAATTGATTTATTAGCGCTGGGTGGTATAAATAAAAAAAAACAATAATCATATTCTATGTAATAAAATAGTTTCTGTGTATGTTGTGTATACGTGTGGAAAAAATATATTTTTTATTTCGCGTTGCTCTAAAAATATTGAATATGATATATATATATTGTGGCGATAAACATATTTTTTCTCATCAAAAAATAAATCCATTTGCACGGAAAACTATTTTACGCATTGCTACACCTTTTTTGTCGTGTGTATAATATATACGTAATAATATATAATTTTTTTTTTCACGTATATTTCACTGCTGCGGTGATTTTATAATATTATTCGATACGCGCACCGATGGATAAATATACGAGTTTTTTTTTTTTTTTTTTTATATATATATATATACACACAATTTCCTGATTTGAAAATATTTTTTATTTTATGGATTTTCAAAACCGTATAAATGCACGGGTAACAAGTACATTTACCGCTCCGTACGTTTATTTAACCACTCGGCTGTCGGTAATATAATATAATATTAATATTTTATAAAACGTGAATAACAAACTTGACGACTTTGCAGTTCCGTTAGTCTGCACGTGCACTCAAAGGCGAACAACTTTTGAAAACCATCACCGTAAACGTTTCACATCGTCATATAATTCCTCTGCTGCGGATTTTTCGCGTTTCACTGATTATTATCATTAACACGAAACAAAATATATTGTAACAGTTTTAACAAATTATCAACGTTTTTTTTCGATACGTTTCAACAGTAGAATAATACCAATATTATAATGTATTATAAAATTCGTTTTGAAACTAAACAGAGTGATATTTTTTTTTCATCACGATCCGAAAATTCACAAGAACCGTGGATTTTAAGTAAATTTGATTTCTGTATTTTTTTTCGTCCAACCATTGTTTAGGCTTTATTTTAACACTTTTTCAAGTCATTCGTACTTTGTACTATTGACTTTTGACTTTTGATTTTTCAATTGACAATCTACCCCCCCTCTAACATTATTTCGACATAGCTTCCAAAAATTATATTTTTTCTAAACATTTTAACACGCTTAGCGTTATTAATGTGGGAAGAGTGACCTATATACAAGTTTATAATTTGTAAGTGTTTAACTGTTGTGCAAATACAGAATAGAGATTTATTTTTTGAAAATATTATAAATAAGATGAATATGATAACCGAACACATTTAATCATTTTTACTCAAAATCTCCATATAGGTATAATTGATGCACCATGATAAAAATAAGCGCTCTGCGTATTAATATTTATTATTAAATTAAAACGAAATATTGATAAATTATATGGATCTTAATCGTTTTAAAATAGATACGAAATTACAAAAGCATATGATATGAATATACCTATTAGTTTTATTACACGGCTTCATCTGTGTGCAGTTTATATGTCTGAACAGTTTAGTGTATATACACCGTACATTTTCGTCCAAACCAATGCCAATTAATGGGTGTTGGAACTTCCTGTTGGGAAGTATTTCGATTTTCTTATGGTAATGAGATGTTTTTTTCGTTATGAAAATAAACCTTTGCCATTTCTTAGTCTTACCCCTATGCAAAAAATCCGTTCGATTGGTCCCTTCGCCGACGACGTAAAAGAAGGACAAACAAACAAATAAACCTTTTAATCGATTTTAATCCTGTAGAGGTTGAATTTTTAAAAAAAGCCTTCCCACTAGTGGTTTTCTACGTTACATAAGGAATACATTTCAGGGTTCTAGACCCAGCGGTTAGAGCTATGCGTTTATATTATAATATACGAACTTTGACACCCCTTTTTAATTCTTTAGGGGTTGAATTTTTTAGAAATTTCTTTGAGGGGGTTGTCTACATTTATAACGAACTTCTAAGTTTCTAGATCCAGCAGTTTGGACACATAATGATGTTATATATAGACTCCCATCTCTTATTTTACCCTCTTTGAGATGGAATTTTCAAAAAATTTTTCTTAGTGGATGCCAACGTCATAAAACGAACTTCTAGATTTTCGAATCTTAGTGGTTTTAGGCAATGTGTCGATAGATCAGTCGGTCAGTCAGTCAATCAAGACTAGTCTTTTATGTTTATAGAATATGACTGTATCGAATAAAATTATTGACTTTTGTATAAATTAATTTATCCTAACTGTATTATATTACAACGACGTTTTCTTAGCTATTTCGTTGACTACTATATAAACAGCTTACTTAAGCTGGCGGTAACATTTATAACATTTCGGTTATACGATGAAATTAATTATGTATGGCGTACACGTAAAGTTGCCTCTACCGCGAACGTTTAATTTTCGTTTAAGATAATATTCGACTTTCCGGACTTAATTCGCTGTTTGTCGACAAATATTCATGAACACACATTTACACGCGCGCTTGTAAACGATCGCGTCAAACGACAATGATACAGTATGATCAATCATCTGATAAACCTCTTTATTGTCTCGGAAAGTATTAATTTTTTTCGATTTTTTTTTTTTTACTATTCATTAAACAAGCGATTCCAAAATATTTCGTTATCATTATTTTTTTCGTTACCCTTATTTTTGAAAGGCAAAACCATTATTCCTTTTTGATTTTAAAATAAAAATAATCCGTATTCAAAATTCCATAGACAGATGAGGTTTTTAGTTTATATGTATTTTGGCGTTATAGTTTTCAATTTCAGTCAATACGTTGACGAGATATTTCATTTTTAGGTTTGGGATAGGAAAAGTAGTGGAGTGCTATTCAAAAGTTGCGCGTCGTCCCACCACGCAAATGATGCTTCGTGAAACTGTACACTGGTTGACGGTGGCCCACTTCGTTGAAAGAACGTAGTCGTTAATGACTGGGCTAAACTTGAAAAGTTCGTTCGAAAATTCAAATGGGAAGTGAACGGTATGACGTATCAAACCGTACAATTAAAAGAGTGTTACAGGCAGCCATTTTTACAAGCTTACACTGTAATAATCCACCAGTCTGTCTTTGCGTAGTTGATTTTCAAATAGGGATCGTGTGTACTTTTAAACTATTCGCACGTTCAATATAAAAATATTTTTACAAGTTAGGAGTTGAAAAATATGGGCCGCTATTTGAACGTCAATAGTGTTGAAATGAGTTTATGGGCAGTCGTGGTAATAATGGCCAAATCAAAAATGGCCATGGCTCTCAAATGACTAGAGGAAAATATGACCACATACAAAAATGACCGGATGAATAAATTTAGTTTAAATAGTTAATTTTTTCAACGACTATAATAATATTATGTTCTTCTGGATATTTTGGCGTACAGACATTTTTCCGTGGTCATTTTTAATTTGACCATATAATTACTTAGATTCGAGTTTATGGTATAGAACTGAAAGGGAAATTTTGAAAATATTTCTAATATACGATTTTATCAAACGATTCTGTGTGTATAACGACTGAAATAAAAAATCAAATTCAAATTTTCTGAAGATGTTTGTATTCGTACGGATAATCTCCGGTTCGTGATAAATTAATCACTCTGTATATATTAATATTATTTTCCGTAAGCGCTCGTAATTCTACGGAACGGTTAACAAAATAACAGTACTGTATTTGCAAAATAAACGTTATCATTAAAATTAATAATTCGATGTATGAATCAGCAGGATTATAATTTTACTGTCGAAATACACGTTTTCAATGACAATGAAGTCATCCCGCGCGACCGACCAATGTACTCGATGAATATTTTACAAAAGTTTCGCGGTTTGTAATTAAGTTATATTGTCTCGGCAACACGGTTTAGTTTCAGAACGGTACGCCTTTTTTCAATCGTCACTGTTTTAAAAAAAAACTATCGTTTCCCCTCTCTCCCATTCACCTTTATTTCAGAGCGTAGCGTGGGCGTCTGGTCATTTACTACGACGTGTGATTTAAATTTTTTGCGTCTGTTAACAACTTTTCTACCAGTGTCTTGCTCTAATTAAAGAACGAAAAATTGGCTTTTTCTAACAAACTTTGTCTAGTGGGTTCGTTGAATGCAGTTGGTATATATAAGTAGCTTTGATATTGGGCCTACTGGGATAATGCACACAATATTGATTTCCAGTATTTTTGCTCGTCGATTTCCAGTCGATTTTGGGTTTTGGTAATTCAATTAAAAATAATCGCGAAGACCTGAAATGTTCAAAAAATCCTTATTGTAGCCTTTTATAGACGCAGTATAAATTCTAAAATATTATTGAGCTTTTTACAGCCATTTAAAACTGTCATATTTTTAGTTTTTACGTGATTTCGTACGTATAGAATTGTTTTGGCCTACCAAAATACTTCAAAACTGAGGTTCAACGTAATACGTTTTCTTTGATAAAACTTCTACTGCAATTCAAATGAAAATCGTAAATACTGCGAAATTCCAAAACGCGTTTAACAGATAGCTTCACCTAAAATCGTTTTTCGTCACATATGATTATCGTCGTTGCGCACCGCAGATACAAATTAAATACATTAAATACATTAAATACATCCTACCTTTGGAACTTTTTTTTTTTTAGACCGTTATTAGGGTAAAACGTATTATTGGCAGCGATAGCGATCGCGTGTATAACTCACTGGCACGGGCACAACCGACGGCGACGGAGAATCGAGTACAGTTCGAAAATAAATGCTTCTACTACAAATCGTTCGACAGGATCGATAAACACGCCTGTGCTATATAGCACAGCGATGGTGGTACCGAAACGAAATGTTTTAAAGCACAACATAATATACAAAAAAAAAAAAAAATATGTAATACCGAATTTATGAGTATATTGTACCAAATGGTTTTCGATTGTTTCTCATTAAAATAAAAAATATTTTACATTGTTTAATCATACACATATATTATATATACAGCGGTTTCCTCATAGGCCCGGGGTCGGGAACTTTTTCGTGTAAATGAGCCATTTAAAATAATAACCAAATTGCAAAACCATTATTTTCAAAGAGCCACATTGTTTAGGATAAAAAAAATCGATCCGTAGTATAAAAAACTATTTATACATTTTATATTTATTCATTTTTATTTAAATTTATAAATATTATTTTACGAAGTAATTTCGTTGGATTGGTAGGCATCAAAAACATAATAAATATGCCGTCTTTAATGTTGATACATTTTTCAAAGAGCCACAGATTGCATGTTAAGGAGCCGCAGGTTCCCTACTCCTATCATAGGGTATACTAAGAATTATACCCCGTATGCTCTCAGCGTTTTGTTGAAAAATCACGTGTATACTGCGTGTACTCTCTAATAGAAAAAAAAAAAAATCTTTCGTGACATACTATCATGAAACCGTCTATACCGCTTATTATGTCACTAGAAACTCGAAACAGTAATGAAAATTGTATTAAATACAAAAGAAAAAAAAAAGAAAAAATACTGAAATAAAATTTTTATTTCAGCAATTATTACAACTGAAAACGTTATGATTTACTTATAAATACTACTAACTAAATACTAATAATTTATTTTTAAAAATATCGAGTGTTTTGTTTTATATAATAATTTTAATTTATTTTCCGTATAATCAGTAACTATTAAACAATATAACCCATAAGAAAGATAATAAAATTGGGTTACTATATACTCTAAAAAAAATTGATGAGAACATCGTTGTACAAGCATTTAAAAACATTGATACTGTCGATGGGTGTGCCATTGGTTTAGCAGGGAAGTTAGGATATATTGAGAATGTTTTAATTTATATCAGCAATAAACCGTTGCTCACGAAAAACTATTCTGAGCGGAGTTCAGTTGATAATGAAGCTTTGTCAACAATATATATACCATAATATAGTCAAATAATTAAAAAGGCTTTATATATTTTCTTTAATAATATTAGTTTATGTTGTACAGATTTTCCCGGTTTTTTCTACGTTTTTCCCGATTTTTCCATGTTTTTTTTCGGTTTTTCGAATTTGATGAGAAAACTCTTAAGAAAATCGAAAAATTACCTCCTTAAAGTATCTCCCCACACCGATTTTTTTCAGAAAAGGTACTACACGTAAAACTCAGAGCAAGTCCTCTGGTTGAAAAGTTGTCCACAGAAAAAAAAAATAAATATCCTTGTAAAACCATAAGCTTCTTTGCTCCACTCAAAATCTAAAGTATTAAAATTGTAGGTATTTTGGGTCTTGTGAATAGCTATAATACGCCGACTGGAAATTACAGTTGCCGACTTTAGAGGCGTGTCACATTCCCCTCAAATCCTCCTTAGGATCGCCCCTAATTGTTGCCTAGGTAACCCGAACGTCAATCACAATATTATATACGAAAAATTGTTAGACAAGAAAGCTACGAGGAAACAAACGCCTGCCTGACGCACTGACTATACAGATCGAAAATACTACAAGAAAGTTCCCATCATAAAGTTTCTGATTGGGATGTGTGATTTCTGGTATCTGATAAATTGTGTATAGATACAAACAAAACGAAATACATAAAAAGAAATGATTAAAACCAAAACATACACACACGTCATATTAAAACCAATACCTTCCTGGATTCGTACATAATTTAAAATAATATCGAATCAGACAAACGCGCGTTCAATTTATCGGAAATTCATTTTTGAAAAAAAAAAACACTCCGGCGTATAACAACACTGTTGTATACAACCCCGAATGCAACGACAAAGCCGTGGAAATTAAAACAATAATGAATAAATTTCCGAGATTATACCCGTAAAATGAACGAGGAAGTATACAGGGTGCCCCGCGGAGATCCGACAAACTTCATAACTCTTGTTCTGTTGTTTTTTTTTTACGTAACAATATAGCAGTAACATAGCGCAAAATCCCGAGCGATTATTAAAAATCGAATGGATTAAAAGTTTTGTCAATTCGACAGATCTCCGCGGGACACCTGTACGTTTCCAAAATTAACGTCGACCGGACGTTAATATAACTAGTTAAAACAATTTCGTCCTTTTTTTTTTTATTTTTAACTTTTCAACTTAACGTAGGATAGCTGATTATTTTTTAACCGTGTCGTTAAACTAACCTAACAAGTTTTCGCAGTGATTACTCGGCTTTAAGTCGAGTTAAATACAAGTTATGTTCAGTCAAGTTAACAAGAGTCACTTAAATCTAATCGGCCGTAATATATTATAATGTTGTACAGCGGTGAGCTGTAGATTTAGTTTATATTTACCATTTAAGGTTATTACAGGTACTATATAATAAATGTTGAACGTATTATTGTTTCGTTTTAGGTTTTTTATTTTATTTTATTTTTTTGATTTTTTGATGTTAGTACACCTTTACGAACAAAATAATAACATAAAATAGCCGGATACATAGTGATACATGAGAAAACAACCCCGGGTGTTTCGTATGCTACGTAAAATATTAATATGTTTACGACCGGTTTCGATTTCGAAACCGTCGCCATGATCTTTCACAGGGGGAAAAAAAATGAAAAACGAAACGGAAATGAGTAGGTACAGATGTTACAATAGTATCGTAGAGTGGAGAGCTTACGGGCGTCGGCTATGCAGGACAGCGTGCAGATGAGTGCGGTGACGATAGACGTGAATCCGTTGGCCGAGAGCATTTCATAATAATAATACGTTACTACCCGGTAGGGGTGTCGGACGACTACGACGACAACGACGACGACGACGACGGCGGCGGCGGCGGCACTCGGTCACGACTGTCGGGCGGCGGCGGCGGTTGTGGCGGTTTTCGCGTACAAAGGCATGGCGCGCGACTACGCCGTTCGCGACGACCACGGTTCGGGCCCTCGGCACGCGACACCAGCGCGGAAACCGCCGCGGCGCGCCACTTACGCGCCATACGCCGCCTACCGGTCTCGCCGCACACCCGCGATACATTATTATTACGATTATCGTATAACGCGTACGTGCGTTGTGTACGGCGCTGCACCTCTGTGCGCGTACATACGCGACCCGCGTACGTGTACCGCACAACGGCGTTCGACTCAACAGTTAATAAGTGAGACGCGCGTCACCGCCGCCGCCGTCGCCACCGCCGGCGACGGCGACGTCGTCTCAGTGATCAATAAAAACATGACGCTGAGGCGCAGCGCCGGCGGCGGTCTGCACGCGCTTCTTTGCCGCGTATAGTAATTTTTGCCGAACGCAATAATACGTATGCCGGATTCGTCGTGCACAACGTTACGCGGACACGCGGACACGCGGCGCGCACGACCATTGTACGCGCGCAGCCTTTCGGTCACAATATCGCCGCGGACGCCGACCCGTTCACGCGCACACGTATCAATAACACCTATACGGCGCGGCGTTTTACACGGTCGCCAACGTCGGGGGGAGCGCACGGGGCACCGGCCGGACGGTCGTTGGCGTCCGTGTCGCCCGAACGTTCCGGGAAAAATACGGCGGTCGTCGCCGATTCGCTTTTGTGAAATCCCCCCCCCCCCCCTATACGGTGCACGATACGTTAATTGTCAGTGCAATCGTTTTCAATTTATTCCGTAACCCCGAGCCGTGTTTAAACGCGCGGCTGTTATTGGTAACCGCCGCGCTGTTTCGCATCCAAAATCATTATGTTACACCGAAGAAGCGTTTTACTGAAACGTGTTTCCATCCCCCTCTCTCGCTCTCTCTCTCTCTCTCTCTCCCGGAAATCACTTTTCCGGTTAATAAAATTAAACGCGGTCCAAATTGTTCATATTGTGTAAGCCGCGGATTTTTCGGCCGGCGGTAGTTAATTTAAACGAACTCGCCGGATTCTCGTCAGTTATTCAAAAACAATAAAAAAAAATTAAAAAAAAAACAACAAAAACGAAACAAAACTGACAACAATAAACGACAGCACATGTATTACGAGCATTACCAATAAGTTCAAAATCGTTCGTTTTCGATCGCAATGATGCGGCGCGGCTTTCGGTGTGCCGGCCGACCGTATATGTGTGCCCCATCACGTCGTTTACTATCCGACAGTAACTATTTTCGTATAATTTGTGCGGGTTACAACGCCGTTCCCGAGTTACCGTCGAGATTTCTCGACGAGGGACCCGGCGGGCATTATCCCACTTGCGTCAGTCCGCGCCCGAAAAGATAATATTATAATTCCGCCGTCACAACGGACATCCCACTAGACCGCGCGCAATAGTCTTCACGCCGCGTGGGTAAAACGAATCGCACGCGTTTCACTCGCGTTTTTTGAAATATTAAAAAAATGTTCGGACATTATCGCGGCATTGTCGCGCCTTGATATGCTAATAATAGGAAAACGATTGCGGCGACACGGCAAACGGTTTTTGAAAAATGATTATTGCATGTCAACCGCGGGATAACAAAGGGGACGGTATTACAGCGGCGGCGGCGGCGTCGTTCGCGCGCGGAGGTGCGACAATAATAAATCAAGCGAAAATTTCCTGAAAATAAAACAAAATAGATTAATGGGATTTTGTACGCTGCACGTGCACGCGGCGCGTTGGTAAAGACTTTAAGCGTAATGAGACTTCTCGCCTCTAAAACGGATGTGTGCCCCCCTCACTCGCCCCCCCCGAGCCAAACGCGCGTTCAAAACGTGGAATCCGTTTAGGATTTTCAATTGTAATATACGACGTGAATATACGTAAACCGCGGCGATGTAATCCGTCGTCGGTCGCGTTTTCGCTTGTCAAATAATATTTTCGTTTTTATTTTCGAACATCTACACCTACGCGTAGTCGATATCGTTGTGAACCAGTGGTGACCAACTACGGCCCGCGATCATTTATTAACCGGCTCGCCAAAGTATTAAATCAAAATTTAAAAAAGAAAACAATTTCAAATTTAAAATATTAACACTCGCATTAAAAATAAGATATGTTTATTGTACATTACGCCTTTTTCTCATGTATAACAATCAATGCACAGTTAATTAAATAATTAAATAAATCGGTGTATCTACATTAAAATGTACCCACAGTAAAATACTTTAAAGTAAAAATTTAAATTCTTGGTCCGCCAAGAATTATTATTATTTTTTTTTTTTTTATGGCCTTCTGTGAAAAAAGGTTTGTCACCACTGTTTGTAAATCGCCTCGAATTTATCGATGTACCTATTTATATGTATATTATTATAATGTTGTGTTAACGGCCAAACTCGATTCGAGGATAAACTATTTAATGGATAGTATATAGTTTGTTCTAGGTTAAACTATCGTCTATTTCTGCAAATTGCATTAGGATCGACCCCCGGAGGTTTAGACTGTAGGTTTTATCTCTGGTTTGTCCTAACATTAAAGATAAAAACTAACACGGAACAATAAAGACTAGTAGATCTAATTATGTACAATAGTAATAGATGAACGTTATAGTGTCTAAGGACAGAGAGTCCTATAGCTAAAATAAGCAGCGTTTGGTAGAATCCCATAAGGATGCAAAAATTATCATGATTCACAGACCCTTAAAATATAAATATATTTATATTATACGCTATGGAATACTGATATTTCATAACTACTACAATGGAATCAGTGATTTTAATGTTTTGATCAAATTAAAATTCTAAATTATGCTAGACAGCATATGACACCAAATCATAAAATCACAAGGACCGATACAATAAAATTGCGTCTTTATTCGGAGTCCGCGGTGATAACCAATAAACCATTAAATCATAACAATTTATGATAATAATGTAAAATTATCAATATATTAACGTTACCAATTATTAGTTTTACAATCGTATTCGTATGTTTTTGAATCACACGAATGACATATTAATATTATTTATACTGTTTATAGTAGTTTGTAGTATAATATACTTATTTATATTTTATTTTTATATTTGTATCTATTGTATACATGGGTACAAATCGATAATTTTGCCTCCCTTTCCAAAAAAAAAAAATAATAATAATAATAATCCTTGTGGGTGCAACTTCGCTCTCATATCCGCTTCCTCCCAAATGTCATCACTGCTAATCCATAAATTGGTCGGTCTCAGTGTATTTCGAATGGATTGATTTTTAGCATACATAGGACAGACTTGATTTTTCCTGAAATCAGGAACGGTAACATATGTATTACTATTATAGATTATTATACGCAGAGGAGAACAAAGCGAGACCCAGAAAAAAAATACGATCGATAAAGTTAAATGGCGATTTCGTTTTTATGCCGTCGTTTTAAAAGCATGTCAATTTATTACAAGTAAATATAAGTATAATATTAAACTGCGACTTTGTTTTTCGTCAATTTGTATAGATAGTTCTATAGGTACGGCGTTCTTTAAACCGCTCAAATATTTACGAGTTCGCCGTCACAAACCAAACTAGCAACATCTACAAAACTAAATGTTATGCTATGGCAATTTTCGCCAATGTAAATACCATATAAAACATCGCAGTGATTTTAAGTGAATCAAATTTGCATGTTTACAATCTTTATAGGTATTAGTGATGTGTAGAGCTGTGAATTTGTAAGAAAGTGCATTTTTTTTTTTTATAGCTGATTGTTAAATGTAGCTTTCTTAGTGCATAATTTGAATCATGTAACAACAAATTCATTTACGAAACTTTTATTTTACATTTTTTTTTTAAGGTCATTTTTCGGACTCAGTAAGTCATATTTTCCTTTTTAATTCATTTTCTGGCATTTTTAATCAAATGCCGTCAATTAACATCTTTACAAACATGTTTTTTGTTTTACACAGGCTCTATAATATACGTCAAATTTATATTAAATAAAATAATATTTTACATAAGCTATTTAGGCAAAGCTAAGGATTCAATAAAATAAGTAAAATTACACACATTAAAATTCGATCAACATTTTTATAATTGTTTAAAAGACATTTTTTTTATTAGATAAATACATTTTCATGTATATAACATATTAATATATTAGTAACATCAAAATAAATATAAAAATTTAACTAAAAACCATTTTAAGTGCATTTTAATTGCATTTTTTATGCATTTTTAAGGTTTTTTACTGAATTAAACTAACATCCTTAACTTATTAAAAAATTGTAAAAATATTGATTGAATTTGAAAGCGTGTAAGACGTAAGTTAACTTATTTTATCGAATCCCTTATCTTTACCTAACCAGGTTTTGTAAAATATTATTTTATGAAATAGAAATTTAAGTATATTATACAGTCTGTGTAAACAAAAAATATGCGTGTAAAGATATTAACTGATGAAATTTGATAATTATAGTTAGATGTAAATCTGAAATTATTATTAATATTATTCAAATATTTACATTTGATTATTTTAATTGGTATGATCATAATAAATTATTATTAGATAATTCATATTACATTTTATCAATTAAATTAAATAAATTTATAATTATGATTAGTTTTCGAATTGAATAAAAACTATTTGAAATAATCCAAAATCGAAGTTTCAAAATCTAAAAGTCAGATTTTAAATTAATTTTTGATTTCAGATTCTGAAAATTAAGATTATCGAACTTCAACAAATCCGGATTTTTTCCGCCATTAATAGCTATACTAAGGTTAGGTTAGTAATAAAATATCGGAATAAACTAGTGATTTTCCCATTGAAAATAAAAAAATTGAAACTAAAACTCAATACCAACAAATAAATACTTGATTAGAAGATTTTCAACGGTTTTAGTGTCCTGCAGAAATGATGACGCATTCTTAGGCACGGATGTAATTATTTTTCATATTGTATTGTACGAATAAAACGTACAACCGCCAATATTATAAGAGAATATATGCTCGAGTATTTTAGTAAAAAGATAAC